TAATTTTTTGAGATATCAACCTCAAATTTGGAACACAACTTGTTTCGAGTTATGGCTTTGTTTTTGTCGCAGTTTTACATTAAAACATGTTTTGGAAAATATATATTTCATATAAATATAAAAATAAGTTTAAACTTCTATAACTTCTTTTCCTTTCACTTTTTGAACATTTTTCACTTCAGCAATAATCATCCTAGTGTCTTCTTTAAAAAGAGATCAAACCTAATTCAAAATTTACAACAGTTAAACTTGGAAATTTAATTTTCAGGTCTATGCTCAAAAAGTGGTTTACCATGTAAAAAAGGATTATAACTACAGCATAAATATAATTTAGAACTATAAAATCCCCTAAAACATTACTGAACTAAAATATAGTACATTAATTTCAATGAAGTAAAAAAAATTCTGTCATTGTTGATCGGCACGTGAGAAGCACCAGAGGGTTAAAGCAGCTTTACATTCTTAATCTCAATATATTTACATATATCTTAATATTTCCATGCCTTATTGTCACATTTATCAGAATAAAGATATGCAATAATAGTTTACATTTTGTGCCAATATAATCACAGAGCCGAGATGTGCTATGATGAGGTTTGCAGATGAGTTTAACCTGTTCAGTGTGATGATCGTCAACGACCTCTGTAGTCACATTTAGACACTTGTTAGCAACCGCCTTTTTCAAGACAAGTAAAAAAAAAAATCACAAGTATTACTAATGTATTTTATGTTGTAGAATAAAACAGGAAATATATTGAACTTGTGTTAGCCACAGAAAAAACCCATTGTTTTTTGGGACGACGGAATCAAAAGTAAAACATGTTAAAACCACTGTCAGCCGACCCGTAATATCTGTGAGATGCACGTGTTTGTAGGTGAGCTCTCTGGGTTGGTTGGAGAGGAAAACCGCAGCTACGATTTATGAAAGTCCTCCCACATCCTCACTGAACGAAGCTCTGGAGAACTTCCTCAAGGTAATGATGAGATTATGTACAGCTTTATCAGCTGAAAGCATTCATCAAATGTATTCTGATGTGTCTGATTGTCTGATCTCTAGGCGGAGGAGTTAAATCCAGGCTTCTCCAAAGCAGTTCGCCTGTATATAGCCAAGGTAACCGTATTGTCTACAATGGGTTTATTCTTCAAGATGTGGCATTCTTTTAAGGCAAGACACTACAGGTGAGGTGAATAGGATATTTTTTAAACTAATAGATATCACCATACTTCAGCATTTCAGTACATTAAGAAAATTATTTTATATCAGACTTTTTCAGAGACTTGATGT